CACCCTGACTGAATGTGTCTAACCACATTTTAATAATCATCTGCAATTCTTATACTGTCAACCTGGCCTTGCGTGGTCATTACTTGTATGTTCGTTAGAGATGAAAATCTAATATTATTAAATCGTCATTATTATACAGTCGTTCATTGACTCAAATTTTATATTGAAAAAAACAATAGATTTTTTTTTAGCTTAATAACTTAAAGGCATATAAGTTATTAAAATATGGCTTATTAAAATATTAATACGAGCTTAAATTAACCGTTACCCTACTAGGTACAATTTGGTGTCCATATTAATGCAGCAACTAGAATTGGACTGTTTTTTTCACTTATTCAGAATAATTTTTAAAAAAATCTCTAAAAATTCACCAACATACTTTCAACTTTCTAGAATAAATATTGGCACTTCATTTTGGAAAATAATAAAATGTAGTATAATTTATAATTACCGAAAGACGCAAAGAAACTTGCATACGAATCGCTTGGTAACTAGTGACCCCCCCCCCTCCTAGTAGGGTAAGAGTTAATATAAATTCATTTGATATTATTTGTTGATATTTTATTAATCTTCTTCACTCTAAATTCATTTTCTGTAGAATTCTTTTTAGAAGGTAGATTTTCTACGATTGATGGTAAATTATATTATATATGAACGAATGCAAAGAGAGGTCTAATAAATTTGTTCCATTTATAAATTTAAATAAGCGTACAGTTTGTTGAAATAAAATTTTGTCGTGTAATTATTTTCAAGCATTACAAGACATTTGCGTCAACACTCGTTCTTTTTAACGAGGACATTAGCGAATGTCTAATTTATGGAATATTTCGTTGATGACAAAGCATGTTTTACATCATCGAGCCTTACAAAATGAAAAATGATGATCGTGCAAAGTCAGTATGAATGGTAGAAAAAAATTCCAAAATTGCAGTCAAAATCAGAATTGTTATGAAGTCGAGAGAAAGAACCCAGCCATTCATGGTAAATAAAAATAATTATATCTTACACACATATATAAAGCTTGCGCTGTAGCTTCACCAGTCATGAAACATGCTACAAGATATCATGACTGTCTTTATCAATGTTTGTGAGTGTATAATAAGTTATAAACTATAAGTGAGCTATTGAATGTGTATATGGTATATGCTAGTCCATATTAAGATACAATAAAATGTAATTTTGAATTCAAATTCAGACGCAGTTGTCTGTTACTTTGAAGTAAGTACGATGCATCGATGAAAACGATATAGCCTTTTCTCGATTTTTCTTTTCTCTCTTAAAGGCTTTATTTCTTCAAAATATTCCACATGACATGTGAAGCAATGAGGTATATTATACATTATGAAGCGTTCATAAAAGCGGTCTAAAA